CAGCCATATCAAATTTAAACACCGGTTCTCTTACGATCACCAAAGTTAAGAAACGTCGAGCCTGGTAATTAATTAGATGGGTGACCTTGCGAATACCAAGTGCTGTAAGCCTGAATGTGCAGGTGGTGTATTGAATAATGTCTCGGAATTGAAGATCGAAGAACCGGTTTTCAATTACAGTCGTCTTCTTATTCATTTACTTGTAAATGCTCTTTGAAAAGGTATGAATCCACCTGTTCTTCTTTCAGCTAGGAATTAATTAGTAGAATTTATATCAATAAGTCATTATTATCTCCAAAATGTTCTTACAATCTAAGAATATTTTCTCTATTTAAATGACCTGCAGAATGCTGATTAACCATAAATGAACAAATCAATTAAACTTAAATGTGTGGTTTACGGCCATATTACGCTGAAACAGAGGGAAGCTACGTGTGCTAGGAGCGAAGCTAATGTAGACTTGCCAGGACTGGACTCATAACATTGCATACCTATATGGGGGATTTTGTCGAGAATACTGAGTCGTACAACAGACGTACCTGACTAGATAATAGAGCAATATTTAATGCGCGGACTAAAGATAGATTTATAAATGTGCCTGAGGATTCTGCCGAGTAACACTGTCTGGAATGGCACAGTGAAGCGTCTTTCCTATCATCAAACTTAGCAATTGATTCAATAAAATTGTACCAGTTTAAGTCAGTTGAAAACGTGAGACAAAGTAAAAGCAATGGGTTGCTATAAACGAGGTTACCATCGGCCATGCTGATGGAAACAAACATGATTCTTTATAATTAGCAAAATATAACAGTTTCGTTTTGGAAGTGTTAACATGTACAAGCCATTAATTGCCCCAGTTAACAACTGCTTGGAGATAATTTACTAGAACAGCTGCGAAGATTAATTCATTGAAAATATCGACAGGATTAATAAGCTCAGACTGGGATAGATAGATAGATAGAAAGAAAGAAAGAAAGAATCAGGTAGCACAAAGAAAGAAAGAAACATACATGGGAAGATGAAGAGATATGCAATGAGATTGATACCATCTTATTTTGATATGCATGGTCACTAGTATCTAGTTATATCTGAACAGAAAAAAACAGACAGGCGGATATTTACGAAGAGCGTGAAAAATAAAATATAATATTATATATATATATATATATATATATATATATATATATATAATACATCGATATATACAAAAAAATAAAAGAAAATAGAAATGTTACTGAATAAATAAAAAGAGATTGGGATAGATAGATTGATATAAGTTAGATAGATAGACAGATATATAAGCAGATAAAGAAAATGAGATAGATAGATAGATAGATAGATAGAGAAGATAGATAAAGAAGAAGATGAAATTTTCAGACAGATAGATAGATAGATAGATAGATAGATAGATAAAGAAAAAATAAGATAAAATAGAGATAGATAGATAGATAGATGCACAGGCAAATAAAGAAAATGAGATAGATAGATAGATAGATAGATAGATAGATAGATAGATAGATGCACCGGCAGATTAAGAAAATGAGATAGATAGATAGATAAATAGATAGATGCACCGGCAGATTAAGAAAATGAGATAGATAGATAGATAGATAGATAGATAGATTAACTGTAAGTTATCATTATGCGGTATATCAAGGTTATTGCATAGTAGCTCTTTTATGTCCAAGTGAGACAAAAATATGTTCTACGACCCACACTTGATATTTTTGAATTACCCCATGCATGATATGGCCATCATCCGATGTAATGCTTTGCAAAACCTATTCCGTGGAACACCAGTAAATCTTCCTGTTAAAAAAATTCTTTATAGTAAAAGCAATCATTGCAACGTTGAATCGATATTTGGGAAGGGAAAAAAAACCAAAATTGAGAAAACAGACTTTCTCCAGCTGATATGCTTTATCTTTACAAGAGTCAGATTATATCACAATCGGGAACTGCAGCCGTATATCAGCTGGAGCTGCCCAAACAGCTCTCTTTAGAATCGATAGTTTTCAAAAGGGTTTACACCGTTTTATGTGTGAAAATTTATCCCCCCTTGCTTGACTTTTCAAAAAGATTCAAACCTCTCGATAATCTTTCGCTATTTCCATGAAAAATGATCAATCGTACAACATTCCCTAATTCCACCTTTTCAGAACTTGACGCTTAAGACGTACCAATGCCATGCACAGTGAAGTGTAGAATCCTTATCTCCTTCTTATTTCATCTCTAAGAAAGAAGTTATATTCGGAATGCATTTTCTCAAGAGATGCTTCCTTGTGGAAAAGACTTCTGAATGGATGATTGACCGACTACTGCATTCTCAGTCTCTCCCAGTCTATGGTCAACTCTCATCTATCCTACATATCCTTGTAATATATACATTCTTACATCCATAAAAAACAGCATTCAGTACACCTCCAACTCGAATGGCTCTCGGGCACTGTAACGGGTGAACTGTGAATACTGCCTGAAAAGAGATAATATAGCTGTAGAGGAAAATACCTGTGAAAAGCGATGAAAGAAATAATCTTCAAACGCAGCTCTACAATTTTAAATACATTCTACTATTGAGTATTTCTTTTCTTTCATGTTGAAAGAAACGATTTATAAAGATCTTCGGAAAACAAAGTCCCACAAAATATTTTTGCCTTTGTTTTTACAAAACAACATAAATAATCAGGTTAATATAAAAGAAAACAGAATGTGCCTACTTAACAAGAGTCACGAATTTACGTTGTTTTATGAATGTGCGTAATTTTCCAATAGTCAGAAGTTAGCAAAATAGGGTTGTGTTAATACTACTCCTTTGTTTACATAACTTCGTTCGTATGATTTACGCGTTGCTTATTTTACTTTAAAATCGCGAGGTTATTGCAAGAAATTACTAAAGAAATATGTGAAATGTTGACTAATTGATTATACGAAAGTTATGAGCAATCAGTTTGTGTACATCAACAACACTGGATAAAGGTTTGTCAAAAAAACAGAAAACTGAATGTGTGAATTTACGATAAGATTATTTACAAAAAAAAATAGATCGATCAAGGAAGCTAAACGTTGTATTTACAAAACTCAGAAGTTTGTTGGCTAAAAATATTTTCACAATTTTTAAATACCTATTTTTAGGATTCGTTAATAAATGCTAATGTGGAAACATAAATAAGAACTTAATTTTTGCGCAAAAATGAGTCGATTAAGATTTTTGGAGAAATTATATATATTGACTTTTTCTACCATTTTTAATCGAGTTCTACATACCTCTAATAACGGATAGTTTGCACTGATCTCATCTATTTATCCAATGCTGAACTCACTAACCAGATTAACGTTCAGGTTTGACCATCAATGCGACGACCTGATGGCCATCCTTTTTTACCAAAGTCATCTATCAGAGTTCGTCTTACGATATTCAAATCTGCGACGGCAGTTGATGGAAAGACGTCACCCGCCAGGACATCCAACAGTTAAGCAGTAAGGCGCGGGAATATATTCCGACGTGCGATCTGGAGGTCGCTATCTCGGGATTGTGGCTTTCATGACATGAGATGTAGCATCGGCAGCAATGGAAAACTTATTAAAATAAAATATAATATATAACAAAATCGTCAGAGTAACACACAGTTTGTGAAAATAACTTACTGTTATATACCTATTCTTTGGTAATGGACTCTTCCATAGATAATAAGTAGGAGTAGCAGTGGCTAAGTCTGTCAGAATTCTATCTCGCGGTCTTTGACTATTTACGCAATCTATCTAACCTCTGCGTTATCGAAGAGAGGAACCCGGACGAGGCTTCGCAGAGAAGGGCAAGGTTTCGTCTGGGAGGTGGACAGGGCCTGAACCCGTCTAATCGGCTTCAAAAGGCTATTTTTTGGCCGAGCATACGGGCTCGGGGAAACCCGTGGAAAAAAACGGCCTTGTGCCATATTCTTTTCGTGGGTGAAAAGATAAATACCGAATGGTATCTCGCGGTCTTTGACTGCGGAAATGTCTGTCGAACTCTCTGCGTTAGCAGAGAGGAACCCGGACGAGGCTTTGCCGAAGGGCAAGGTTTCGTCCGGGAGGTGGATAGGGCCTGAACCCGTCTAATCGGCTTAAAAAGGCTATTTTTTTTTGGCCGAGCCCGAGCCTACGGGCATCGGGGAAATCAAAAAAAACGGCCTTGTGCCATATTCTTTTTAAGTGGGTGAAAAGATAAATACCGAATGGCATCTCGCGGTCTTTGACTGCGGACGCCTTCCTGTCGAACTCTCTGCGTATATAGAGGAACCTGACGAGGCTTTGCCGAAGGGCAAAGTTTCGTCCGGGGAGGTAGACAGGGCCTGAACCCGTTTAATCGGCTTCAAAAGGCTATTTTTTTTGGCCGAGCCTACGGGCTGGGGGAAACCCACATAAAAAACCGGCCTTGTGCCATATTCTTTCCGTGGGTGAAAAGATAAATACCGAATGGTGTTGAGCGGTCTTTGACTGCGGACGCCTCCTGTCGAAATCTCTGCGTTAGCAGAGGAACCCGGACGAGGCTTTGCCGAAGGGCAAGGTTTCGTCCGGGGAGGTAGATAGGGCCTGAACCCGTTTAATCGGCTTCAAAAAGGCTATTTTTTTGGCCGAGCCTACGGGCTCGGGGAAATATACATAAAACCGGCCTTGTGCCATATTCTTTTCCGTGGGTGAAAAGATAAATACCGAATGGTGTTTAGCGGTCTTTGACTGCGGACGACTGTCGAACCTCTGCGTTATTTAGAGAGGAACCCGGACGAGGCTTTGCCGAAGGGCAAGGTTTCGTCCGGGAGGTATTTTAGGGCCTGAACCCGTTTAATCGGCTTCAAAAGGCTATTTTTTTTTGGCCGAGCCTACGGGCTCGGGGAAACCCACAAAAAACCGGCCTTGTGCCATATTCTTTTCCGTGGGTGAAAAGATAAATACCGAATGGTGTTGAGCGGTCTTTGACTGCGGACGCCTCCTGTCGAACTCTCATTAAAAAGAGAGGAACCTGGACGAGGCTTTGCCGAAGGGCAAGGTTTCGTCCGGGGAGGTAGACAGGGCCTGAACCCGTTTAATCGGCTTCAAAAGGCTATTTTTGGCCGAGCCTACGGGCTCGGGGAAA